GGTAGCTGGGATTACAGGTACATGCCACCACGCCCAGCTAATTTTTGTATTTTTAAGTAGAGACAGGGTTTCACCATGTTGGTCAGGCTAGTCTTGAACCCCTGACCTTGTGATCTGCCTGCCTCAGCTTCCCAGAGTGTTGGGATTACAGGCATGAGCCACTGCGCCTGGCTATTTTTTTTTTTTTTTTTTTTTGAGCTGGAGTTTCACTCTTATTGCCCAAGCTAGAGTGTAATAGTGCGATCTTGGCTCACTGCAACCTCTGCCTCCCGAGTTCAAGCGGTCCTGCCTCAGCCTCCCAAGTAGCTGTGATTACAGGCATGGGCTACCACACCTGGCTAATTTCTTGTATTTTTAGTAGAGACAGGGCTTTACTGTTTTAGTCAGCCTGATCTTGAACTCCTGACGTCAGGTGATCCACCCACCTCGACCTCCCAGAGTGCTGGTATTACAGATGTGAGCCACTGCAGCTGGCCAAGAAATCTAATTGATAGTTTTAGTTTGAATATTATTTTTTGTTCTTCAGCTTCTATATTAGAATTATAAAAACTTTTTGAAAATATTGGTCAGGCCGGGCATGGTGGCTCATGCCTGTAATTGCAGCACTCTGGGATGCTGAGGCAGGCAGATCACCTGAGATCAGGAGTTCAAGACCAGCCTGGTCAACATGGTAAAACCGCATCTCTACTGAAAATACAAAATTTAGCTGGGCATGGTGGCAGGCGCCTGGAATCCCAGCTACTCTGGAGGCTGAGGCAGGAGAATGGCTTGACCCCAGGAGGCAGAGTGTGCAGTGAGCTAAGATCATGCCACTGCCCTCTAGCCTAAATGACAGAGTGAGACTCCTTCTCCCAACGAGAAAAAAAAAAAGTTGATCAGAGTAGGGTTGGATGTAAGCCTTTTTACTCTGGAGGAGTCTAAATTGGTACAGTACAGCACCCACCCACCCTCCCCGCTCAATCCTGCGGTCTCATGGTCTAAAAATAGGTGAATATACTACAAAAGATAATTTTATTTATTTTTATTTTTTGAGACAGGGTCTTGCTCTGTTGCCCAGGCTGGAGTGCAATGGAGTGATCTCGACTCACTGCAACCTCTTCCTCCTGGGTTTGCAACCTCAGCCTCCTAAGTAGCTGGGACTACAGTCGTATGCCACCACGCCTGGCTAATTTTTTTGTATTTTTAGTAAAGACAAGGTTTCACCATGTTGGCCAGGCTGGTCTCGAACTCCTGGCCTCAAGTGATCTGTCCACCTCAGCTTCCCAGAGTGCTGGGATTACAGGCATGAGCCACTGCACCCAGCTACAGTAAGATATTTTAAAGTAGGACACAGGCTCATGGTTCAATTGCAGTACTTTGTGAGGCTGAGGCAGGAGGATTGCTCTAAGCCAGATGTTTGAGACCAGCCTTAGCAACAAAGTTAGACACCATTTCTAAAAAAATTTTGTTTTAAAAATTAGCTGAGTGTGCTGGTATGTCCTTGTAGTCCTAGCTACTTGGGGATTGAGGTGGGAGGATCACTTGAACCCAGGAGATTGAGGCTGCAGTGAACTGTGATTGCATTATTGCACTCCAGCCTGAGTGACAGAGTTGAGACCTTGTCTCAAAAAAAAAAAAGACCACATTTACAAAACATTTATTATTGTATATTGTTATAACTGTTCTATTTTATTATTAGATATTGTTGTTAATTTCTTGCTATGCCTAAGTTATAAATTAAGTTATAAGTTATAAATTAAACTTTTCCATAGCTATGTATGTATAGGAAAAAACATAGCATATAATTAGGGTTCGGTGCAGCTGACTGTAACCTCCACCGCATGAACTTGAGCTCAGGATCCTGGGTGCAAGCAGTCTTCCCCACTCAGCCTCCTGAGTAGCTGGAACTTAAAGTGCATGCTACCGCACCCAGCTAATGGTTTAAAAAAATTTTTTTTTTTTTTTTTTGAGACGGAGTTTCACTGTTGTTACCCAGGCTGGAGTGCAATGGCACAATCTCGGCTCACCGCAACCTCCGCCTCCTGGGTTCAGGCAACTCTCCTGCCTCAGCCTCCCGAGTAGCTGGGACTACAGGCACGCACCACCATGCCCAGCTAATTTTTGTATTTTTAGTAGAGACGGGGTTTTCACCTTGTTGACCAGGATGGTCTCGATCTCTTGACCTCGTGATCCACCTGCCTCGGCCTCCCAAAGTACTGGGATTATAGGCATGAGCCACCGCGCCTGCCTGGTTTAAATTTTTTATAGAGATAGGATCTCACTGTGTTGCCCAGACTAGTCTTGAACTCCTGGTCTCAAGGGATCCTCCTGCCTTGGCTTCCCAAAGTGCTAGGGTTACAGGCATGAGCTGTGCACACAAATTTCTGTGTATAGAAATTATTAGAATTATTAAGAGTTCAGCAAATTTTCTGCTTACTAAGGTTAATATACAAAAATCAGTTGCATTTCTGTCACCAGCCATAAACTATTAAAATATAGAATTAATAATACTAAAGCGATTAAACTCGGTGTGATTTAGCAAGATGTTTCAAATTTAAGAAATAAATGTGGCTGGGTGCAGAGGCTCATGCCTGTAATCCCAGCACTTTGGGAGGCTGAGGCAGGTGGATCACTTGAGATCAGGAGTTCAATACCAGCCTGGCCAACATGGTAAAACTCTATCTCTACTAAAAATATAAAATATTAGCCATGTGTGGTGGCACGCAACTGTAATCCCAGCTACTCGGGAAGCTGAGGCAGGAGAATCGCTTGAATCTGAGAGACGGAGGTTGCAGTGAGCCGAGATCGTGCCACTGCACTCCAGCCTGGATGATAGAGATGCTGTCTCAAAAATAAATAACTAAGTAAATAAATATTTGGATTTCTAAATACAAAAAGAAAAGGAAAGAGAAGACATGAATGGCTGGTAAATACTATGTGACAAGATGTTTAGCCTTATTAGTATCGGGAAAAGCAAACTAAAACCTCAGTGAAGGGTGACCTCAGCGAAAATGGCAGAGTAGGGACTTCTGGAGGTCATCCCTCCATAGAAACACCAAACAAGTTGACAAAAAAGTCAGAATAAAGCTTATCAGAACTCTGGAAAGATAGTCAAAGTTTTACAGCAGCCAAGCAAATACTTAGCCAGAAGAAAGGGCACTGAAACAAGATAGGAGATCTTTGTAGCATTTTAACTTACCCTAGCCTCACCTGCCTTCCTGCTACGGCTCCAGTCTTGAAGATGACAGCCTGTGTCCCCAGGTCGGTGCCTGATTCCAGAGAGAGCAGAGTGGACCCTCTTCCTTCTAAAGGATTGTGTTTGTCTGTTTTGTCCTTTTCCCAAAGGACTGCCACCTGGGGGAAAAAATTAACAGGGCAAACAATAGGATGTTGGAAGCCTGAGAGGAAAAGCTGTAGAGTGAGTTTTTGTGGAGGAATAGGGGCTTTGAAAAGCTATTGTGATGGGAAACCGACAAGTGCAAGGCTCAGGGCCGTATGCATACTCAGAAAAGACCCGAAAAGCCCATTAGTTTTCACCCCTGGCTTGTCTTCAGGCTCAACATAAGCCGGAAGTGAACGTTAAGGCAGCTTTATAAAGACCCTGGATAAGTTTTGAAGGAATGCCCCAACAGCTAATCAGCAAAGACCCGGGCATTCAGCAAATGTGTACATTCATGTACTGCCAAATTTGAAATGGTTTTGGCAATTACTTCTTAAACATGTGTTCTGCACCGTTCTCCCTCTCCTTTCCATGATACATACGTTGGTGTCCCACACATCTCTTGGGCTCTGTTCATTTTTCTTCAATCTTTTTTTTTTTTTTTTGAGACAGAATCTTGTTCTGTCGCCAGGCGCCAGGCGGGAGTGCAGTGGTGCGATCTTGGCTCACCACAACCTCCGCCTCCCGGGTTCAGGCAATTCTCCTGCCTCAGCCTCCCGAGTAGCTGGGACTACAGGCATGCACCACCAAAGGGCTAATCAGCAAAGACAAAGCATTTTGTTTTTCTTTTTCTTTCTTTCTTTTTTTTTTTTTTTAGTTTATTTGTTTTGGAATGTGGTCTTGCTGTGTTGCTCAGGCTAGTAGGTGCAAGCGACCCTCCCACCTCAGCTTCCTGAGTAGCCGGGATTGCAGGGAAGTACCATTGCACCCATCTCTTTTTGTTTTGTTTTGTTTTGTTTGTTTATGGAGATGGAGTTTAACTCTTATTGCCCAGGCTGAAGTGCAGCAACTTCCGCTGCCTCGGTTCAAGTGATTCTCCTGACTTAGCCTCCCGAGTAGCTGGGATTACAGGTATGCGCCACGATGCCCGGCTGATTTTTTTATTGTATTATTGTTAGGGTTTCACCATGTTAGTCAGGATGGTCTTGAACTCCTGACCTCAGTGATCGCCAGGCGCCAGGCTGGAGTGCAGTGGTGCGATCTTGGCTCACCGCAACCTCCGCCTCCTGGGTTCAGGCAATTCTCCTGCCTCAGCCTCCCGAGTAGCTGGGACTACAGGCATGCGCCATCTGTAGAGCAAGATTCTGTCTCAAAAAAAAAAAAAGAATGAAGAAAAATGAACAGAGCCCAAGAGATGTATGGGACACCAACGTATGTATCATGGAAAGGAGAGGGAGAACGGTGCAGAACACATGTTTAAGAAGTAATTGCCAAAACCATTTCAAATTTGGCAGTACATGAATGTACACATACAAGGAACTCAACTAACACTCAAAAAGGATAAACTCAAAGACATCTATATGAGACACATTATAATGAAAATGTCAGAAGCCAGAGATAAAGAGAGATCTTGAAAGCAGCAAGAGAGAAGCAACTTGTAACATATAAGGGATCCTAAATAAGATGAATTTCTGCTGATTTCTTAGTGGAAACCATGGAGGCCAGAAGACCAAAAAGAGAGAAACTCATACCTTTGCAGCAGAAGGCACAGTGGCCATTTGTAGTAGCAAAAAATTGTAAACAATCCAGACATTTATTGATTCATTTTTTTAACATGTGATTTATTTCTGGTCTTTACTAGCTTTGGGGCCATTTGGATCACACGATGATTTTTCAAGATTTTAGACCATTTCTAAGTAGCAGTCCACTGGACCAAGATAATAGAGCAAATGAAAGGGGTCACCAGACTCACACTGATTTCTGGGGAGCAAGGCCTCCACGGCTGCCAGTGGGTCGGAGATACAGATCTCGAGGAAGTACTCGTCCTGACAGATCTCCAGCTATTGAAGGGTGAGTTGTTTAAGTTCTTTTTAAGGTAGTTTCAGTGAAGGACAAATTGGTATAATTTAATCTTTATAAGGTCCTCATACTGCTTTGTGGACAAGATGGACACAGAAAGGATGAAAGTGAAGCTAAGTTGAATGTTAGTACTCACCCAGTGATAATCTAGAGCATGAAAAATGTTACAGGTCTATGGTTAACATTTTCATTAATGTCTCAGATTAATATATAGATGGTATGTGTCTCAGTCCATTTTGTGTAGCTATAACAGGATACCTGAGACTGGGTGATTTATAAAAAACAGAGATTCATTTCTTCTATTTCTGAAGTCTGGGAAGTCCAAGGTTGAGGGATCCACATCCGGTGAGGGCCTTCTTGCTGTCATTCCGTGTTGGAAGGCAGAAGGGCAAGAGAGCATGCATGAGCCGAAAGAAAGGTACCAAAGTCCTCCTTTCATTAGGAACTCATTCCACAGTACCTAATCCACTTCCAAGATAAAGGCATTAATCCACTCTTGGGGGATTCATTTCTTAAAGTGTCCACTTTTTAACACTGCTGTGTTGGGGATTAAGTTTCCAACATGAATTTTTGAGGAAGGTACATTCAAACTATAGCAGCATATTTATCAAAATTTCAAAAGGGTTTCACATATATTAGGATTAAATATTTCAGCAGATTGGAGCAGTGGACTTATGAAATTTAATCAAGTATCTACTTTTTGTGAAGAAAGAAAAATTTAATAGGATAAATATGAAGTCTTGTGACTGTAAAAACTCATGTAATGAGTGTCTTTTTTCTGGGGGGCCCTGTACTGGGCACTGGGAACACAGTGGTGAGTCGAATAGATGGTTTTGCTCATGGGTCTCATTTAGTTGGAATAATAAATGCTAATTTTAAGTGTTTGCCATATGTACAGGACTGTGCTTCATGCTTTATCTGCTTTGTGTTGTTTAATTTGTGTGAAGTAATAGGTGCTATTGCTGTTTTCATTTTATAAAATGATAAACTGAGTCTCAGAAAAATCAAGTAACAGCCATTGGTGGATCCAAGACTTGAATCCAGGGCCGTGTGAATCTAGTGTGGCATTGTCTTACATGGCAGCTGCTAGCCACATGTAGCTATGTCAGTTTAAATTTAAATTAACCAAAAGTTAATGAAACTAAAAATTCAAAGTACCTCAGTCCCACTAGCTATATTTTGAGTACTCATTGGCCACATGTAGTTAATAGTTACCATATTTGACAGAACATATTATAGAAAATTTCCGTTATCTTAGAAAGTTCTATTGAACAGTGCTATTCTAGAGCCTACACTCTCCCTCTCAACTTTAACATTTTACTGTACTTGCTTTATTACTTACCTGTTCATCGAACTATTAGTTCATCTTAAGTTTTGTGCATTTCAAAGTTAGTTGCAGACATCCCTTCATAGAACAAATATAGGAGATGGGAAATCTGATTTAATGAGATTGTCTAGGACAAAAATCAGTGAAATCCTAGATTAATAGCTTATGGCACCCAGAGTTAAAGCTACTATATCCTGGCCAAGTGTGGTGGCTCATGTCTGTAATACCAGCACTGTGGGAGGCCAAGGCGGGTGGATCCAAGGTCAGGAGATTAAGACCATCCTGGTTAACATGGTGAAACCTCGACTCTACTAAAAGTACAAAAATTAGTTGGACATGGTGGTGTGCGCCTGTAGTCAGGAGGCTGAGGCAGGAGAATTGCTTGAACCCGGAGGTGGTGGTTGCAGCAAGCTGAGATTGCACCACTGCACTCCAGCCTGGTGACAGAGCAAGATTCCATCTAAAAAAAAAAAAAAGCTACTATATCCTGTGCCAGTTAAATGGTGCGTAGATCACTTTCCCTTCTCTATCTGTTTGAGACCTCATTGTTGAGTTTCTCAACTACAGTTCATCTAAACTTTTACCTCCTATGAATCTTTTTTTTTTCCCATTCCACCCACTAAATGGCCAATTTTGGAGCAGTGCTATGGTCCCCTTTTTGTTGCTCCTCTACTAGGGGATGGTTCAGCACTGCTGGAGAAAAATCACATAAATGTGCCCAATGGTGCCCCTGCAGATAGCAAGGTACATTTCATCTCTACTAGACTGTTGACGTTTTTGGTTAGGCTTTTCTTTTGCATTTCCTGAACAGGTATTTTGAATTTTCACTAAATTTCGCTCTTCAAATTTCCTATAGCTGATGCTCAGAAGTTGATTTATATTCTCCTTTATGAAAATTGGGGCCTTGGACGTGAACTTCCCAAGTCCCTGTGCCCAGCTTCTCTATATCAACAATCATTTATCCCTCCCCCCTCTTGAGATGAGGTGTCCTTTCTTTTTTCAAGGCAAGCTATCAGCCCCTGCTCCTGACCCATTCCTTAGCTGTTTCATCTGGGATTTGTATCATCTATCTTCTTCCTGCTCTCTTTCCCAGTTAACACCCCTTGAGCACTGTTACTCTTTAGCTCTCTGTTTTTCAATCCTGGCTATACATTAGTGTCACTGAGGATGTCTTTTTAAAAACTGATACCTCGGCTCCATCCCCAGGGACTGTGATTTTATTAGTCTGGGTGATTGCAGTCATTGGTAATTTTTTAAAGCTTCTAGTCATTATGGCCAGAATTGAGAATTACTGTTCTAGTTACTGCCTAGTAATCTTTTTCCTTTCTTTTCCTTTTTTTTTTTCTTCCTTTCCTTTTCAATAATTTTTTTTTTCAATAAAATTTCTTAAGAGGTGTCTGTGTTTACTTTTTTATCTTTCATTAGTCTTCTGCCTACTGTAGTCTGGCCATCCTTTCGCTAAAATCTCTGGTGACCTTCTATTAAAAATTGCAGATCAGTGGATACTTTAAAATTCTTATTGTATAGATCTACAACCTTTTTGATCTTTTTTCTTCCCCCTTGAAATTACCTTTTTTTTCTTATTATTTATTTATTTTGCAATAGGGTCTTGCTCTGTTGTGCAGGCTGGAGTAGAGTGGCATGATCATACCTCAAAGAGCCTCAACCTTCTGGGCTCCCACAGTCCTCTTGCCTTAGCCTCCCAAGTAGCTGGGATTAGAGGCATGCACCACCATGCCTGAAATGCTTTGCCAGGTTTTAAATTTTTTTGTAGAGATAAGGTCTCACTAGTTGCCCAGGCTGGTCTCAAACTTCTGGGTGGATTGCTTGAGCCCGGGAGTTTAAGATCACCCTGGCAACATGGCAAGACTCCATCTTTACAAAAAAATTAAAAATCGCCGGGCGCAGTGGCTCACGCCTGTAATCCCAACACTTTGGGAAGCGGAGGCGGGTGGATCAAGGTCAGGAGTTCAAGACCAGCCTGGCCAAGATGGTGAAACCTCATCTCTACTAAAAATATAAAAATTAACTGGGCATGGTGGTGGGCACCTGTAATCCCAGTTACTCAGAAGGCTGAGCCAGGAGATTCGCTTGAACCCGGGAGATGGAGGTTGCAGTGTGCTGAGATTGTGACAGAGCATGACTCTGTCTCAAAAAAAAGAAAAAAACTAGAATGTGTTGGTTCATATAATTCAAATGGTTGTTAGCTATATCAGACCCAACATCTCTCTTTTTATAACAATTACCTTGTAATGCCCTCTACTATCCTGATTTGAAATTCATTGACGATATAAGCTATAAAGCATACTAAAATACATATGCATATATATACCATTCTCCAATTAATATAAAGGAAAAATAAAAATAAAATATGCATTTTAATATGTAAATGCCTAGCCATAAGTATTCTGAGAGACAAAATGAAAAATTAGGTGCTTGCTTCCGTATATAGAACCATTAAGAAGGCGATAGCTACAAATGCAGACAGTACGAGAGTATTACATTTACAGTTCATCTATCAGAAGCATGTTTGGTACAAGGTTATGATTTTTCAAAATGGTGAAGAACTCTTAGGAAATTTCTGGGGAAGCATAAACTTCCCTCAGTTTTCACAGTAGTTATATCCCTGGAAAATTCAGTATATATTAAAACCAAATGGAAAATAATTTGTGTTTAGAATGGAGCTGGATTTAGTCTCAGTTAATTACAGGTCGTTTTTCACCAAATGAATGTCCAGGCAGAATGTTCAAAATACGCATGTTGGAGGGCAGTTCTTTGTTGGGCCTGGTGCCATCCTATTTATTGCAGGGTAGTTACCTCTCATTTTTCCTACTTAGTAAATGTGAATGGTACCTACCATTTATTGTGACTAGCAAAACGGTCCCTTCAGATTTCTAAATCACTCCCTAGGAGTGACATTGAGAACCACTGATGTAAATTAAAAGTCTACAGGTGGATCTAGATGGTCAGTCAGTATGTTCATCTGCCTGTCATTCTTCATCTCTCAAATCTGCTTTCCTGTGTTATGATGATTAGATAGCTTTCCCTTTCTAAAATGAAAGAGCCAGTGGTGGCTCCAAATTTATAGGAATTACGGAGCATTCATCCTAGAGGATATGTTCATCCATACACTTTTTTTTTTGTTTTGAGATGGACCCTTGCTGTATTGCCTAACCTGGAGTGCAGTGGCGTGGTCTCTCAGCTCACTGCAACCTCTGCTTCCCATGTCCAAGCGATTCTTGTGAGCTGGAATTACAGGCACATGCCACCACGCCCAGCTACTTCTTGTGTATTTTTAGTAGAGATGGGGTTTCACCATGTTGGCCAGGCTGGTCTTGAACTCCTGACCTCAAGTGAGCTGCCTTTGGCCTCCCAAAGTGCTGAGATTACAGGCGTGCTCATCTGTCAACTTTCATGAAGGTTTCTGGCCCTGATTGGGGACTATGCCCACATCACTGGTGGGTGGTAAGTATTTTTGTGTATTTTTGAGTTAAACATCTAATTTCCCCCCGCATATGAGTATTCAGTTATTTACAGCATAATATATTGCATATCTGATTTGAAATGTCACCTTTATTATGTAGACATTTTCATACTTAGTTTTCTCTTTCTAGATTTTCTATTATGTGCTGTAGATCTTTATTTTTGTGTTCTGTTCATGTAC